CAGTTTTTCAGTTGTCTTGGTGTCTCGTTGGGAAAGTGATTACACCGCCGGATTTGTGGCAGAAAATGATTTTCCCGAAATTGGTAGGCCGGGCTTTGTTAAAGTCTCTAACTGGATGAATCCAAATTTGTTCTCTAAAAACCTAGAAGTGCTACCCACTCAACCAGTCACCATAAAGAACAGCGGCTTGTACTTCCTGAGTAGCGTTGTGGTTTTGAATGACAAAACTGGCGGCGAGACCTTTCACAGTGGAGTTTGTATTGATTACGAAATTGCTTTCAATGGTATCACGGCTTCAAAAGTAAGCGAGGGAAACACTGGAAACTTTGTCGTAAGTGCATTTGGAGTGCTTTACCTAAGCAAAGGACAGAGGGTTCGTTTATGCGTGTCATCGGGAAATAACGATAAATATGAGAAAGAAAGCGGTTCTTGGTTTTCTTTGGTACGATTTCTCCCACTGCGTCAACCACCTGGCCTTCATCAAATTCTTCAGAAATCTCGTAATACATCAGGACCTTGTGAATGGTCAGTGATACGATCTATGTCAACTGNAACTTCTGTTATCGGTAAACGGGGATACATTGAACACCAACGGTCTGACAGCTACAAAAGGTGTCATGGATGGTTTGTCAGTTGTTCTCAGTCTATCTGCAACTGCTTATCTGGAGCAATGGCAAACTTTGTCTCTGATGATTAGAAGCACTGGTGTGGGTGCGTTTGACGTAGTCAACGGAAGTACGTTTAGTTTAGTTCTGCTAGGTAAGTAAGACAATGTTGTTTTGCATTTAGGTAAAGACAGGCTTGGTCATAATTTTTATACCGAACTTCACTTAATGTAGGAGCATCAGATATAACTCGATTTGTCTATTTATTTCTAAGTTTCTAAGCAAACGGGCTAAAAATGTGAACTATAATATTGTATGTAGTGACATTTCTAATCCGTAAAATGGAATTTTTATGGGCTCTTGCGTCGAAAGCTTTGCCTATCCATTCTTTTTCTTTCGTTCTTTCTTTCATTTTTTCTTTCTCGATAAAAACGGGTTTTGTTACGGGCGCTTAGCGCGCTCGTAGATGCACTTCACAATGACGGGTGTTACTGATTACGGGTGTTTTGAATAATACGCTAAGTATAGGTCAATGCGCATAGGCTTTCTGTGTACAGTGGTGGTGAGGTGGTCGTCCGGGTCTCTTGAAACTGCGTGTCAAGGGAGGCGAGTTTGTCGTTATTCTCTGTCTGAATGGTGAAGCAGATGGAAAGCTACTGTTCGTTCAGATGCTGCAAGAAGCTGTCGACGGTTATCTTTTTTGTGCAAATTGTATTATCTTTAAGTTTCCTAACTTTTTGGTCAAACTGTAATAACAAATGCTGAATGTGTAATAAACCATTTTACAGTTGTCTGCTCAGTGACGTGGCATTTGAATGGCAGCGAGGCCGGAGGTGACCTTGTTTTGATACATACCTCACTACTTTTGTGTGTAAATTTGTTGGTCTGATGCAAACTAGTTTGCATTTAAATGAGAAAAGCAGAGACTTTTGTATCATAGCAAAGTCGCTTGCATTCATAGGCCAGGTCACTGAGCACACAACTGCAAAATGGCCTATTTGCGAGAAAACAGTGAAAGCAGTGGAATAAATGCAAGAAGTAAGGTTTGCTTTCTTCTACTCTTTCACTGAAATTGAACTCTCTCTGCTCACTGGTTTTAACTATCACACTCCCGCTTGTTTTAGAGGAAGCAAAATACTACAAAACGGTGGCCCCGAACATCACTCACTTTGACAATGGTCCTCGTATTGTTCGTCATCCACCTCCGTCCGTGAGCCTGGGCGAGGATCTGGGATTGAACGTTTCTTGGTCATGTGATGCGGTCGCTGAAGGAAACGTGGCGTACAGTTGGTTAAAGAACGATCAGGTAACTCAGTTCAAGGTTATCAAATTGCCGTTTAACCAACAGGCAGGAAATAATTTCAAGATGGTCATGATATTTTTGATGTAAACATGTTTCGAATGTAACTTGTCAATCTTCAGTGGTAACAGAACCCGTGAATATGAGGCGCCTCCTTGATTTTGAGCTGGAATGGGAGGGGAGAGGTTGAGAGACGCGGTGTCTAGAATAATGATAAAAAAAAACAATTATCACATCCAAGAGACTGGTCTCTTGTCACAACATAAAGCTCGATAGTATTCCGGGTTTTAAAAAATGTTGGAATTTTTGTCAGTGGAATGGTGCCCTTGGATTCGCGTAGTGAGATGTCGGTTAGGCACCACAACGTGCAGTGACTATACCATGTTCACACCGAAGACAGTATACTGTCTTTCACACTGAACTCTGAGGTTGTGACCGAGTCCTCTCGTGGTGTTTTAGAGCGGTTTTCAATTTGGCCAATCACAGAGGGCAAACTCACTGAACAATCGGGTGAACCAATCAAAACTCGAAGCGAATACATGCAGACATTGCAAAACGCGGGAAAACGCATGCGAGCGAGTCACGATTGGGTTTATTGGGATTGAATGATAAAGTGGCGCGAGAATGTTTTAGGCAACTCTGTAACGTAATACAAAACAAAAACAAATGCAAATAAAGCAGCGAAAGCCCCTTAAAGACTACCGCGATCGGTAGTCTACGTGTGGCCGTACCCACCCTCCGAGGAAAAACGGGAGGAAGGGAACGTCTACGAAAAGCTGGCACGAATTCAATCTCGTTCCCAGAGCCCACGTGTCTTTTGGTCAGCGCCAACCAAAGGACACGTGGGCTCTGGGAACGAGATTGGCACGAATTGTAGCCTACGTGTAGCCGGGAGGTGGGTAAGGCTACACGTAGGCTACTCGATCGGTTGCACTTCATAATTTTCAACTTCATACTTTTAGACTAGCCAATTACTATGAATTAGTATTCAAGAACTCATGAAATTCATTTGGTTGTTGCATTTTTTTTTCTAAAGAACATCACTTCCTCTCAGGATCTGTCTCTCCAAAATGTTCAAGTATCCGACGCAGGTCGGTATGTGTGTCTAGCGGAATATGACAGCATCAAAGTCTTCTCGCAAGCCGCTGAGCTTGACGTATTTGGTAAATATTAATGCATTTGCAACATTTTTATTGATCTGGCATGAGTTACAAATAGATCTTTGAATATTTGCTATTGCTATAATGTTTAATTAAATCTTTGGTAATGCATTATGTAGTCATCGAATGTTTGCAGTTGTGTGATGCAATTTTTCCGGCCATCATGCATTGCCAACTCCATGCACGGAAACTAACGTTAATAGAGATTTCAAGAGTTTGGTTCACTCAACTGACGGCAAACCGCAAAAGTTCTCCCTGATTTTGCTGCCTTTATTTCCTGTAATCCTTACATCAATCTCAAGGAAAAATGTTTTTGCACATACAAATATTTTCACCGAAGTGCGCATACGGCTGTAGACGACGGACGGCAGACGTGTAATCGTTGTCGTCTACGGCCATTTTTGACTTCTCTACTGGTTGGTGTTGATTCAGTATTTCAGTTATTATTGACAGAAATGTTGTTATAAAATTTATGAAGCAAATCATGAAAGGTTGTGCATTTGTTTTGTGTAGACACCAGTCCTCAGTTTAAGAACAAAGTGTTTACGGCCCTTGAAAACAGCAATGCTTCATTGGAACTTGCGTTGAGTGCTTTGGATAAGCAACGTAGACCTGCTAACATTTCTCTTGACATTATCAAAGGTTTGTAAAACCATCCTAAACGTACATAAATCCTCGGTAGTAGACAATGTTGCATGGGTAACATACCAAAGCATGCCAGACATGCCACACGTATCAAAGCATGCCAGACATTTAATAGTTTCAGTTAATCTTAGTCTAAGGAAGTACTGACATGGATGTGGGTGGCGACTAAACATATCCATTTGGATGTTCTGACAGTCTTGCCGTAAAACTCTTATAATAAGCATACGAGAATATGTTTAGATTTAAAGATAGATATAACTGTCCCTTAATGTAGACCTTGCTTTGTATCTGATGTCGCCAGAGTATGATGTCACAGATACCTCTGCTGATCATTCAACCACTGTGGAACTTGTGTTTAGGCTTCATATCGTTATTGTTAAGTAATACCGTAAATCCTCGAATTAGCGCCTCCCTCAAATCAGCGCCTCCTTCGAACAGGCGCCTCTCCCATTGGCCAAGATTTAAAATAAACGTCTTCCCTCGAATAAGCGCCTCCCTCATCTCCCCCTGTTTTTTAGAAGAGTGCTGAGACAACAAATGAAGTATAGTTTTGGTTGTGTTCAATCACAAGCAAGTGATTATCGACTCATTCAAGCACTGCACATTGACCGTCGCAACGGATGGTAGTGAAGATCTGCTGATTCATTGCCTAAAGCCCAACCAACCTTGTGCAGCAGGCCTAAACCGGCTTAAGGGGTTATATTACGTAGCTCTTCAAGAGAAACAGGATCCTTCTGAGACATCTGGGGGGCTGACACATATAACGAATAAACCGATATCTGACGATTTGGGAATAATAAAATAAGCCCCCCTCCCCTCCTCGATTAAGCGCCTCCCTCGAATAGGCGCCCCGCGTTCTCTTCTAAATTTGAAATAAGCGCCCCGTGCGCTAATTCGAGGATATTACGGTATATCAAACACGATAGACCGTGTTCGACCACATTTTTAAACACTGAGAAGAGACTTGAAAATACGACGCATTGCGGAGTATTTTGGATGACCTTTGAGGTGTTTGGAAATAGGTCCAACACTGTTTTGAGTGTTTGATAAAAATAACGAGAAAGCGGAGAAATAAAATCGTAAAAATCTATGCTACTTAGATCAGATATCCAAACTCCATCACGGTCATGATATCGTTTGTCTAACCTCGATGAATGATTAATAAGTCTGAGAAGAGAGTTTCGTCATGCACTATATACCAACATTCCATTGAAAATTTTCAAACATTTTTGAAACGCAGAATTCCATCCTATAATAAGCCTCTCTGAAAATGAACCCTCTCAAATATATGCCCACCAAAAATACCTTTTGAACACATGATGAGCAAAGTTTATCAGAATTTTACAGTGCTTTCTTTACTTTTCTCTTACTTGTATGTTTTTTTTTTGCAGGTGACACGAATGACACGTTTGTACTTTCCCGTGCAGTATCAAAGGACAACTTCACCTTGAGGAATCGAATCCCATTAGATTACGAGACAATACGTTCGTATCTTCTGACACTCGTTGCCATCAATCAGGATACCAACAAAACAACAACAGAGAACATAACAATTATCATATCTGATGTCAATGACAATCCACCGATATTCACCAGCGGGTAAGATAAGACCATAACGATCACATATATGTAGAAAACTTACTCCTTGTTTCGAGCAGCTCTCAAACTCTCTCAGCTCTCGATCATTCAAATAAAGACTTTTACTCGGTTAAATTCTTACTGCTCTCTATGCTCGAGTAACTAATTGCATTACAGAAACTACAAAACTGTGCTTCCTGTAGAATTGCCCAAACATTCTGAGAGCTCTCAATATTGTTNTTGATCCAGAAAATGGCACTATTGTACTCCTGAAGTCTTTGGATTACGAAATACAGAAGCTTTACGAGCTTCATGTACAGGCTTCTGACGGAAACTTTAGTTCAGGCGTAAACGTTTCAATTCAAGTTGTCGACTACAATGATTACAGCCCCGAATTTCGTCAAGCAAGTTTTTCGTTTTCCGTCCCAGAAAATGTTACTACTGGTCATCTTGTAGGAAATGTTAACGCCAGTGATAAAGATTCTTACGATAATGCCAACATCCATTATTCAATTTCAAGTGTTGGTAACTACGATAAATTTATTATAAACTCATCAACTGGCGACATCTTTACTGCTACCAAGCTTGATGCGGAAACTGTTGAAAACTATGTTATTTTGGTAACGGCTAACGATACTGGTAATCCATCCAGAATATCAACAGCTTTGGTAACCATAACTGCTACTGATGTCAATGACAACACTCCAGAGTTTGTTCAACGGAATTTTACAGTCAATATCTCGGAGGCGTCTGTCTTAGGAACAAATATAGTGTGTCTGTCTACGACGGATCCAGATTCCATGCGACACTCAGAGATTACTTATTCAATTGCAAATGGCAATGTGAATGACACTTTTAAGGTCACTACTGAAGGCGTGGTCGTTTTGCAGAGACAACTCGATAGGGAAACAGTTGAGCTTTACAACTTGACGATTGTTGCAGGGAACAGTGGAGCCACTGTACCCCAATCACATGTTCCAGCCATTGTTATAATCAATATTGTTGATGCCAACGACAACAGTCCAGTGTTTCAAAAGTTGAACTATTCGTTTACCGTCCCAGAAAATGTCACCGAGATGTACTTTGTAGGAAGCGTCACAGCTAGTGACAGAGATTCTTACGACAATGCCCACATATCTTATTCAATTCCAAGTCTCCGTGATCACGATAAATTTTGGATTAACACTTCAACCGGGGAAATCTATACAAATGGCGTGCTCGATTATGAAACTGCTGAAAACTACGCGATTTTGGTCGAGGCCCATGATAGTGGACATCCACCAAGAATGGCTGTTACTTTAGTCAACATAGCCATTACGGACGTCAATGACAATTCTCCTGAATTTGTTGACAGATATCTTCAGGTGAACATATCTGAAGCCTCTACAGTAGGAACACAGATCGTGTGTCTGTTCACCACTGATCGAGATTCCGTGCAACACGCACGCACCTCTTTCAACATTTCCAAAGGCAACATCAACAATACTTTTGGAGTCACTGATGAAGGTGTGGTCATTTTACAGGGACACCTCGACTGGGAAACCATTTCCATGTACAATTTAACCATTGATGCTGTGGACTCAGATTCCAGTCAATTGAAGTCAAGCAACTCAGCTGAGGTTATTATATACGTCGAGGACATCAATGACAACCATCCAGTTTTCACGAAAAGCTCATATTCAGCCGAGATGTTAGAGAATGTGCCCATAGGACATACAGTGATCAGTGTAACAGCACATGATAAAGACAAAGGCTCCAATGGACTGGTAACTTACTCTTTGGTCGAAAGTCCGTGGGATACAGATGAACTAGCAAGCAGAATATTCACTGTCAATAAGATAACTGGAGCCATCTCAACCTTAAAGAAACTAAAACTGAACGCCCCCCAAGTAGAGTATAAATTTCAAGTCAAGGCAAGTGATAAAGGGGTTCCGAGTTTGGAATCGTTCACAAACGTCCTTGTAACGGTGGAGGATACCAACGATTCGCCTCCTATATTCACAGTTTGCCCAAAGATCAAAAAAGTACCATTAGAGCAAACCGAAGTAGAAAGCGAAATCTTTCGTGTTTCGGCCACCGATGCAGATCATGGATCAAATGCCAACGTCACTTATTCTATTGTTGACGAAGAATTTCCTGAACATTGTGCGTCAGAAAACGGTGTTTTTCGAATAAGACACAATGGAAGTATCTACAACGTAATGGAACTGCGGGCGGGTTGTAATTATACCATTAACATTAGTGCCACGGACGGAGTGGAATTTGATTTCTGCTCGGTTGATGTGCAGGTAATGGCTAAACCGGGTACAAAAGGCGGCCAAACAGGTAAGGCCAAGTTCAGACGTCGTGCTTCTGTCGTGCCGAGCTAAATTGCAATCAGGCTCGACTGTAGCACGGCAGGAAAACAACTCTGATTCAGACGTCGTGACAGAGTCGAACCAAATTCAGGATATACTGATGCCTCGTAACAATTCTCCCCCTAACTCCCTGTGGGAACGCAATCTCGCCAAAATACATTAATATAATTTATGAATTTTGTTTAGCACGGCAGAAGCACGACGTTTGAATCGCTGCCGTGCCATAGTCTTGTAGCACGGCAGAGCTTATCGAACTTAATTGCTTGCATCACGTTGATTCAGACGCCGTGCTTCTGCAGTGCTTTTGTCGAACTTAATT